TGTTGTCTCTGCATCTGTTCTCAGTGCTTCTGGCGGTATTCCATCTGGTCCTGCTGCTTTCCCGCATTTCAGTAGCTTTATGGCGTTCAGGACTTCCATTTTCGTTGGGGGATTTATGTTCACTTGTAATTCAGCGGCTGCAGGTGGTATTTCTGGACGAAGTGCAGGTGGTGGTCGATTCAAGAGCTTCTTGAAGTGGTCGGCCCATCGTTTCCTCTGTTTCTCTTCTTTTGTAATTAAATTTCCTTCTTCATCTTTTATTGGTTTCATCTGTGTTGGTCTCTTCCCTGATAGCAACCTGGTTATTTGATACAATGTCGTCAGGTCTCTCTTACCTGCAGCCTGTTCTGCTTCACTTGCCAGTGTGTCGTAGAAGTGTCGTTTGTCTTTGCGTGCACTCTTCTTCACTTCTTTATCCAGTGTTTTATACATTGTGCTCAGTTCCTCTTGTCGTTGAGCATCCTTGCACTGGTTTATCTTCTGCTTCACCATCCTCCTCTCCTCTATCAGCTTCCAGGTATCCGTCGAGATCCATTCCTTGTCTTCTTTCTTCTTCCTTCCTAATACTGTTGTGCAGGTTTCTTTCCACATAGCTTTCAAAGACTTCCAGTGTTCTTCTACACAGGTTTCTTCAGGGATGTCCCTCGACGTCTCCCATTTTGTCTTGATGGCTGCTTTGAAGATCTCCTTTGTAGTTTCATCCTTCAGTTTCCGAGTGTTGTACTTGAATTGAGGTCTATCACCAGCTTCCTTGAAGGCTTTTAACTTGATTTGAAGGTTCCTTGCACTAGATAGTGGTCTGAACCTACATCTGCTCCTCTTCTTGACCTTGTGTTAAGTAGACTGCGTCTCCATTTTCTTGAGATTGAGATAAAGTCGATTTGGTTTTTAGTGTGTCCATCTGGTGAAATCCATGTCGCTTTGTGGATATCCTTGTGCCTGAACACACTGCCTCCAATCACCAAATCGTTGAATGCACAGAATTCTGCAAACAATTCTCCATTCTCATTCATTTCACCTAGCGCCTCTCGACCCATGGTTAGTTCTCTTCCCGTGTTGTCCCCTCCCAGTTTGGCATTCATGTCGCCCATTAGAATTTTGATATCGCCAACTGACGTCTTGTCCAGTGTTGACTGAAGTTGTCTGTAGAATTCCTCCTTTTTCTCTTGCTCTGCATTATTTGTAGGTGCATAACATTGTATGATTGTGACCTTTCTTCCTTTTGAGTTGAATCTTGCTGACATGATCCTGGAGGAGATTGGTTCCCACTGCATGAGAGCCTTCGATGCTCTTGAGGACATCATGATAGCCACTCCCTCAGTGTGCTCGTGGTTGGCGTCTGGGTGACCGGAGTAGATTATTGATTCTCCCGTTGACAGTTTGGAGAGTCCACTCCCATTCCATCTGCTTTCGCAAATCCCAAGCACTTCGATGTTATACCTTCTCATCTCCTTTGCAATCTGGGCTGCCTTACTGGGTTCAAACATCGTGCGGACATTCCATGTCCCCACGTTTACTTTCGCTTTCATCGAGAGAAGACACATCGGCCAATTGGCTTCCCGAAGGCTTTCACCAACTGGCGTCATTTCGCCTCTCCGATTCCAGCGGGGAATAAGTTTGTTTTCATTTTTTATATTTTGTTTGTGCTTTGAAGTTTCTTTAGCGGTTAGATTTGTTTTACGGGGTAGGGTTGCTAGCCCTATGCCCAACCTTCCCTCTTTACCCGGGCTTAGGACCGGCTAGTAACTAGTAAACTAGTTAACCAGGCGAGGTTGCAGCTTCAGAATAGGTAGTAGTAAAGCTTCTAAGCAGATGTAAACGTGTAATATAAAACGAACATAAACTATTCGACCTGGTGAAAGCACACAAAGGACAGCAAGTATTATTATCTTCTTAGTGTATGTTGTTAAATGTTGAGACTAGAAGTGTGAACTAAGTTTTCTAGCTCGACCATAATCGCCTTAAAGCAATCTTTTTCAAAAATAAACTGCTTGTAATCTTTAGGAAAAAATTTCAACTCATTTCAAAACTTGCACTACTGCTATACTGTGTATGCTTGAGGTTGTTTCATTTGTAAAAGGCAAAATCAACTTTCAGCAGGTTGTCTGGGATAATAACCAAGCAGAATATGAGCACCATTCATTTTCTAAATGACAAATTTGTTCAACCGAAATCCCTTGAAATCACAATAAACTGATTAACTTACATTTCTGTGATTTACGCAATAAGTGAGTAATTATATTGATGTATTAAATGAACGTGAAAATTTCCCTAGCTAACTAATTATTACGGATGCCAAGTCAGAAAGCAACTATAATTTAGACAAGAATGATAGTGATAATAATAATAATTACAACATGCGTGAAACATCCGTATTGAATTAGTGGATTCGTAGGTCACGATTAAGCCCACAGAGAGCGTTATTATGCATTAATGAACATCCCCTAGTTAGAAATCAAATTCCCGGTTTTATTTTGATTTTTCTATAAAAATTGAAATGCACTTTAGTACTGCTAACTTTTGTCTGTATTCATGTGTGTGTGTGTATAGATGTATGATAAGTCACCAATGGCAACAAATTATTCTGTAACAAACTACGATACAGGCTGTCAATTTTCGACATTATTATAATGTAATGTATGTTGATGAAGTAGTTCACTCTGGTTTACTTATGAAGGAAAGCATTTATTTTGTTGTTTCATTCTAATGAAAAATCTGGACACATGATTTATTAGTTTACGATAACGAATGAGAATTATTTCCGGTTAAAAAACATTCTAGTCCCTCCAGTTGACTGATCGAATCGTAATTACTGTACAGTGAAATCAGATGCACACTCAGGTGACAGAACTGATATGTATTGACTAGATGATCAATAAAGCTAAGATAAATAGCTACTCTGTCTTAAGATGGATTCTAAGTTTGAAGTTTTATGTCAACTATTGAATCAGTATAGGAAATTAGTATATCGGCGTTCTTCTTGTCTACTGCTACCAAAATTGCTGAAAGCTATAACCTAGTGTGACAAACACCAAGATAACACATATTAGACTAGCCAAAATACGGCAGACGACACATAATGTGTAGAGTTTATTAGGATACACTAATATACAACAAAGAAGGTTTGAATAACCCTTTTTTGATAAATATGACATCTAAGATTTTCTTCTCACTGCCCTTACTCACCGAAAATGTCTTCAAAAAAAAACAAGCAAACTAACATGCCAAACACTGCCGAAAACCGTGTATATATATTTTAAGTTGTCGGATTTTAGTCGCCAGAACTCCTTTTACCTACATTTCATAGTTGTTAGCACTCATTAATCACATACGTTAAAGTAAAATTGAGACAAAAGCACTAGGGATAATTAGTTTGGCAAATTTAGAAACATTAGCGTAACACGTTTACACGCAGGAAACAAAGTGCACACTAAATTGCCATAGTAAGCTTCAACCAGTTATTTTGATCCCATAAAGTTGTTGTTTACTGTCAACATTAAAAAAATAATAAAGAATCTGTTCCATTTTAAGGACTGTGAAGCAAAACAGTCGAAAAAAACACATATTAAGGGGAAACAGAAAATGAAATGGAATATTTCACTGGTAGAGAATTTTTAGACAAATAGCTGCCACTGAGCATTTAATTATTTCATAAGAAGGCCTTTTAAAGCATGGAAACTGCATCCACTCATCTCAAAACCTTTTCCTTAGTATTTCAAATGTGCAGAATTTTTGATCACTTGCCAATCTAAGCATTGTCGGTATATAAAGGACTGGCTTAAACCTGCAGTATTTTCACCTGGTCTTACAACCTTCTAATTCTTACAGTTCACATGATTCGTTTCATTACTGTAATTATTACGCGCTGCTTTTTTAATTCTGGTTTCACTTCTGTATTGATGATCTCATCTGTCTGAAAACTCTGTCACTTCCTACAGACGACCATGGGTGTCAAGCCTAGTGAATTCTACAATAATAGAAAGAAAATATTACTTACTTGGTAGATGTAACTTCTTGATGATTTGGGCAATTTGCCCATTGGAATGACCGACTGGCATAGACAGGTGGCTTGTGACGTATCTTGGTTGACTGGCTACGAATGGTGTTATTTGTGAATGCAGTCCAGTCCAGGGTCTGGGGGCTAATAGGAACGGAGGGGGGGGGATAGTTTGCTAAATAATTTGTTATTGAACAACTGATACAGTCGTATTATTGTTATGCAAACATTTGAAGGCAGGTGAATTTCTCAGCTTGATTGCAAATCAATTTGTTAGTAAGTATTTAAGTAATTAAGCAGTAAAACATGAAACACACAAATGAAACAAGAATTGGAATGAATATAAACTTGTGTTTAACGTGCTGTATATAGATTGGTGACAGGCACAAAGGGCAAATTATTTTCCAATATTTCCATCGACCCCCACCCCTCCAATCCATAATGTAGTAATTAATAGAATCAGTTAGTTAGTTAGGTAGCTGGTTATTAGTAGTTTCAAAGGCAGTTTATATACATTACTTGACTGACTGATTTTGAAGGGAGACCAGATATTTTTAGAGGGGTGTTGTTAATCGAATCAGTAAGCTCATTCATTACTAACTGTACACAGTACACGGTCCAATAAAATATATACGCCTTCAAACCACGTTTTGAATGGAACATGCCTTATATGCAGTTTCAACGAACCACTCATGAATTCGAAGCCGGAGTATTGCTGCAGTACGTGTTGTAATTACAGTGGTTTTCAATTCTTCAGTTAAGTCACTTCTGTGATATTCAGATAGTCTCGTGAAATAGTAGCATGGAATTTTTTCTGCTTAAAAGTAAGTTATCTTCAAACAAAACTCTCGATTAGTCAGAGAAGAACTACGTTCATTTTCAGTTTTTAACGCAAGTAAATTTCAGGTAACGTGTTATATATTGTGCATTTCTACATAAAATACATATGTTAGTTAGACTGTTTTTCTAAACTAAGTGATACATTTTCTGTTTTTACTTACAGACTGATGACATCAAAGAATCTTTAAGCATTCACTCTATTCATTCAGTTCCAAGAAACTTCAACTTCAGTGAAAAGAAACCGAGTAGAATAAGATCAGCACGTGATTATAGGAGCAAGAATACAGATCACGAGATTGGTGTTCATTTCAGTGAAGAAACTAAATTCTATCTCATCAGTGATAATGATTTAGCAAATGAGAAAAGTACAGTGAAAATACAAAGTGCAAGAACACGAGCAGATATCCATGTCCCTGGTGTTGAACATTTACTCGAAACAAGTGATGATTTAGAACAGTGAAAAAGGTTCATTTAAAAAAATTGCTCTAGTTTTTCTTGTTTATTTGTTGAATCTTGAACTAAATAGTAGTGACCATACAAATTTGTTTTTCCCAAATTATTTACTAAACTCACATCGTAGTCTCTTATCTTCATTTGATTCTAATTGTCAAAACAGGTAGCTGAATGACCTCTTTGCAGTCCTCCTTTACTGAAAATTCAAACACTCAACGCTAGATGAAACTTCCTATTACATGTACGCATAAAGCATTTTTCGTATATGTGTTATCGAAACACGAATGCATGTACAAGTAACCGCTACCAAACGTTTTGAGAGAAAGAAAAAAAAGAACAAGAACCTGGAAAATAACTGAACCCCTGAAAATTGGTTTCCATTTCACTTAATTTCCATTATCTTAGATCTTTCAAAGCCAAAAATGTTACTGCACATTAAATATCACATTTACTAAAATGGAAAATATTTTAAATAACTGGTCAGTTGAATTGCACATGGAATGAACTTAAAAAAAAGTGCAATGAATTGCTACAAGTGTAATTCTTCCGTAGGGTTCCTGGTGTAAAATATGGCTTCAGTAGCACATCTACATTCCAGTCTATTCTCAGCAGCCTTAACAAACTCGCTCCACCACTGCCCACAAGCTTCCATTTCTTCCTCACACCATCTCACCCATGTCAACCTAGCCTAACACGCCCAAATCATCGTTTCACTTACAGGTTCTATTCGAGGGTCTGCAACCTGATGTCTCCGAATGGTCTACTCAGTGGATTCCTGATCCATCTCCATTTCCATCTGCATATCTGTTGGGTGATAGGTTCTTGGTTGGTTTGTTGCAAGGCCACAGTGAGTTCCTTGTTCCTCATTCTTACTATTCTGGCCATCCATCTGGTCTTCAGTATCGAGTGAGTGTAGGGAGCACCTGTTGATGAATGTTTGCTGTTTCTTGCAAATGCTTTCCATAACGCACTGACAAGTCTCTCAGTCAACACACAGAAGCACTGACTTGACTGACATTAGTGTTGAAAATTCGGATCTCGCTCACGCTTTATGCTGAGTGCAGTGCAGCGCAGTAGATTTCCACACTAGTTTCAGGTTAATAAAAACCAGTCATGCTCTTCCGATCCTGGCTTTCACATTCACATCTATGCCACCGCCGCCTGTAGTTAACACGATGTTGCCTTGCCTACGTGGGTGAAAGAGACTACTTACTTAGACTTCCTCCTGTTCATGAAGATTGGTGCTGTGGTTGTTTATAGTGGTGGTGGTGTTGGCGGTGGTGGTTGGCTACCTTCATCAACTCCGTCTTCTCCACATTCACTTGAAGTCCCGTCTTCCTTCGTTGACCTGTCTCTCCTCTCAACTAGTTGGGCTTGGCCTATCGATCGTGAAGCGTGTGCAACATCAGACACAAATCACCGTCGACAAAATCCAAATCTGATAGCGCATTTTCACCCATCCACCATCAAATGTACATCTTCCCGCACCTCACAGTTCGCTGCATCATCCAGTCGACCACAATCAGGAGGATCATCGATGATAGTATATGGCAGCCTTGTCTTACGCCTGTCTTCACTGCAAAGGCACCACTCAGCTCTCCATTGTGATTCACTTGGCATGCAGCCTCATCACATAGCATATAATTTAATAATTCCCATTGTAACATCAAGAACAAGATATTCAGCGAAGAGACTCTTTTCAACGAATTTATTTTCAAGCTGTACAATCGTATATATATGGTATTTGGAAAAATATATATCCTGTGAGGAAAACTAAACACTATATGGTGATGACAATAATAATAGAGCGGGTGATGACATAGGCATTTATGATTATAATAACAATTGAAGTGCGAATGATAACAAATAGATTATGTAATATATGAAATGGTGTATAGGGAGTATATAACTCAGAAGGGGGTGAAAAAATTGTTGAAAATGGTAAATCAATTAAGTATTATGTAATCGCATTAGACAAATTGGACAAGATGAAGTCAATGTTTTCTAAAAGGATTAAGACAATTAAGTGAAACAACACCGGAAACTAGTTAAAGTGAAGGCGATTATAATAACAATAATAGTGATAAAGGAAGGATACAAAGCTTAAATTAACAGAGTGGGAGGGGGAGCTAATGGGGTGGGAAAATGTTATGGCCATGATAACGACAGTGACTGCACATACTTCTTTTGTGCACACAGATCAGGTCTTAGTTCATGAATAGCTAAAGCCTCCGCTGTTTTAAGGAGTTGAAAACGAAGAGAACGTGGGAGGTTTGGGCGAATTTGATAAATAATTTCAAAGTCATCGTCTGGATTTGTTGTGTGATGGAAGTCAATCAAATGTTCTAGAATCGAACTTCTAACAGACTTTCTTTCACCTTTATAAAACCAAGCAGGAACACGTTCTCGTATACGTGTAGAAAGCATTCTCTGGCTACGGCCGATGTACCTTGCTCCACAAGAGCAGGTGAACTGGTAGATGCACATAGAGGCGGCCAAACGAGGAAGCTTGTCTTTAACGCAGGTGGAGAATAAGTTGCGGCTGGTAAAAGTCAACTGAAGTCTTGCTGCGAAGAAAGTCCTACTGATTGATCTGGTAAGACGATTCTTCAGCACATCCGTTGCTAGGTCTCCTTTAAACTCCAGTCTCATAAACAATCTTTTCTTTGAGACCGAGTGGATGACTGGTTTAGTGTTTCTTTCCCGCATATTTTTATCAATAAAACGGCTAGGGTAACCGTTTTCGACAAGTATGCTTTTTAAAAAGATAGCTCTTCGTCGATACAATCGTCACTACAGATATTTCTTATTCAATAGCAAAGAGAGTGAATAAGATTTCTTTTTTTGTTGATGGGCACCCAACTATAAAAATTAGTTAGTTGTCCGTTTCACGTTGGTTTTCTGTAGATGGATCTTTTAAGGTATCTAATCTGACGTCGGGTGAGAAGCATATCATTTCATATATTACATAAACATAGCATATAGCTGTTGAACGTGGTTGATAACGGTTTGTTGCACTGAAACCGTAGTGTTGAGCAGCTGTCTGTTCAATTGCTTCTCAGTCGACGGCGTCGAAGGCCCTCTCAATATCGATGAAGTTGAGGTAGGGTTGAGTTGACTGCCAATCTATACTCTCTTCTATGATGATGTGTAGAGTAGCGTAGCATTGCAATTCGATGCACACATGATTTGTTCTTCCTCAAGCCGGCCAGTCAGCCAGTCAACAAGCCAGCCTACTCCGGTCGTAATTTTGAATCCAGAGCACTCTCTAATCTCTCAAGTATGATGTGGCATAATATTTTGTTTGGGTTGGACAGGGACGAGAGCATGATTTCGCACCAATTCTTGCAAAGACTTACGTCACCCTTCTTTGGAAGTTTGAGGAGGTGGTATTTCTTCCAATTAATCAACACCTACCTTTCCTTTCTTACTTCCTTCCTTCCTTCCAAACTATCTCCAATGTTCATTGTAGTATGTCACCCAACCAATTCGAATTTTAACGAAGCCATATTCAACCTGAATCTTTTCCAGTGCTGATTGCAGTTGTCTGTTGAATTCCTCGTTCTTATCTTCATCTGCGTTATTTGTAGGTTCGTAGCGTAACATTTTATCATTGTGACTTTTCTTCTTTTCGATTTAAATCTTGTTGTCATGATCATGTTCCTGGAGGACATTGGTTCCTATTGCTTTAGAGCCTTCGATGCTTTTAAGAACATCATGATAGCTGCTATTAGACTCAATGTGCTCATGGTTGTCGTCTGGTTGACACTAAGTACGAGTAGATTATTGACTCTCCAGTTGACGGTTGGGAGGGTTAACTTCCATTCAATCTCCTTATCCGTAGCAGATTCATAGCCTGAAACTTCTACACTATAACTTCTCACCTCAATGGCAGTCTGAATAGCGTTAACATTCAGCTTCAAACATTGTGCGATCATTCCATGTCCCCGTTCTTACTTTCGCTTTCACCGAGACGAGAGAAGACACATAGGCCAAATGGCTTCCTGAAGGCTTTCACCAACTGGCGTTATTTCTCCTCTCCGATTCCAGAGAGGAATAAGTCTATTTTTATTTTCGATATTTACTCTGTGCTTTGAAGTTTCTTTAGCGACTGGATTGCTTTTACGGATTAGAGTTGCTAGCCTTATGCCTAACCTTCCTCTTTATCCGGGCTTCGGAGTGGCTAGTAACTAGTGAGGTTCTACAATGGATATCGGCAGCTTAATTTAACGAAGTATTATAGAAAGACCTAAAAACTGTTGTTCATCTAATTTGTTTAACGCTTACTCTGTTCAAAGTATGTTTTGAAAAGTTCAGCTCCACAGATGAATGCTTAATTTACTTCCACAAACTGTCAGTATCCATGGTTTTAGGGATAATTTGTTGTGTTTACAAACGATGCTTCAGAACTTCTGAGGAATGAATGAATTTCAGTGATGTAACGTCATGGCTATAAACCATTTAATGTGTATAGATTTGAGTGTCACGCAGTTGTATATTGTGAAATTGATTACCTGAATGAGAGTTTTGTAAATTAATACATTTGGCAGTTCAACTAGAGATGATCACTTTGAAAATGATCTACAATTTTAACAGTCCACAGTCGAGTAGCCTCACAAGCTTTCTAGCTGTCGTGTCAACAGATTTCACTTTAAAGCCATCGAGCCAAGATCACCACCCACACCTTTAAGTAGTAAATTAAGTGCGTTTAACTACAAGGAACTAAGAACATTTCATTCTTCTGTAATGGTAGAAGAAATTAATTGAAGTAATGATCCTTTACTGGAAATATTGGAAGTATGCCCCAATGCCCTTCGTACTGCTCAAAAATACTGACTGTTATGACCAGAGGCGATGAGCCTGAGTAACAAGTTTTAGTACCCATAATAGTTTTCAGTCTGTGACTCCTGGCTACGAATGAAACAAAATAACAACTAAAACAGGTCAACACTTCTCAGATAACATAAGTGCTTAGCAAAACTAGTGATATTCATTGTAGGAGATACT